GACGACATCCTGGCGTTCTCAGTTCGTTAGGTTTGGCCTCAAAGTGGTCCCAGTTGAGTCGGCTGCGTTGGTCATGCGGCTAGGAAATGGGGAGTGTCTGGTGTTAAAGATGCTGAAAATTGTGAAATGGCAAGCTGCCTGCGGTACATTTCCGTCGATAACTCTGGCTTCTGAGCAGTGTTTTTCGTGCGTAAACCAGCGTTGGAAAGAGGAGATCACACCGCGACAAATCCGCCAATCAGCGCTTCTAAAGCGAGTCTGTAGGAAAAACCACGTTCTTGATTAGGGATACTGTTGCAATTATTACCAACGAGAGGAAATAGCTCATAAGCAAAGCGTAATACAAGCCGAGAATGAAGATCAGGTGTGGCCAAACAATTCACCCATTAAGCTCACGTAAGGAAGACACTTTGAAAGAACGCTCAGCTGCTCTGGCACAGAATAGTCCGTATATTTAGTACCGATTTTCAGCTCCAAATCTGTCGAGCCATGGGGGTTGACATTTGCTCAGGAAGTTGAAGAGGAGGAGAACAGATGAGTAGAAGAGGTACAAGGAGAACGTGGGATGTATTTGAGATAAAGAGAGAGTTAAAAGGACTCAGGTCCAGGACGCGTGGCTGCCTTGCAGCCACCACTCGGGCATTACGCAGTTTTAGAGGAATGTACCCACGTCCGTAATCACCTGATTATTCTGTTTGGGCATTTTTACATTTTTACCAATTAGTATTACACGACTGATATTTGACAGAACCGATATATGGTACTTCTAGCTCCGGCGTAGATAAAGTAAATCGGTTGCACGTGCTAGAAAAACGGGGGCGAACTACGTCGGCTCCTATTACAAGGGCTTCCCGAAGACTGAGATAGGAAACATCAAACAAGCTACGGGCTCGACGCTGTTATGATGGTGTATTGATAACCGCCGACTACCAGATGAAGTGATTGGTTTACCTTCGGTGCGTTATATGTATTAGCACAACCATTTTTTCATACTGAGTACTGAGTGATGACAAGGTTTTTCCCGATAGACATTAACAATATCAACGTACGTATAGGTTGAGTCCCAACCACGATATTGGTACAGTAAATCCTGTCCTAAATGATCCCTCTCATCGCTGATATCCTGCTATATATGATACGGACCTACTCGGTTCCCAGTCAAAAGTTAATAAAGGATTGATAATCCTGCCAAACGCTATACTTGAAACGATATTTTCAAATTCTGATACTAAAACAAATATATTGTTGGTGTTGAAAAAGCATCTAGAGCTCAAAAAAAAAAAAAACTAGTTATAGAAGTCTTGGTCATCGATATCTCCCTTTCCAATTTTAGTTGCTCACGGATCCTGCTGTGGAGGAAACGAAGGTCTTTCATAAGCTTGTCCTCCATGTCTGGATGATCAGCAAGCATACAGATAACCCTGCGAACTGCGTTCATCTTCTGTTGAGTGTTATCCGCGTAGGCAAGCTGCTCTGTATTCTCTTCAATGCCATTCCCAGGCTCGTGGGACTCACCAGACGACGTCGGAACGAACAAAAAGTCTGACTACCCGTCCAATAAGGCGTCCGTCGAGATTGTCTCCATTTCTGTATCCAGCTCGCTCGGGTTGCAAACGAATTCCTCGATGTCCATCGGGAATTCGTTCATCTCGGCTTCGCTCTTGGTCTCGCCGATGATATACCAACCTCCGTCTTCCGGGTTGTGCAGTAGGCGACGGATATCCATGGTGATGATAGAGAAAAAGTAGGCGTGACGTGTCCGATTCCAGAATGAGGCGGTCGAGTGGGGCAGTGCTTTGTTGGGCTTGCGAGTGGATGCTTGTCACAGTCGGAACTAAAGCTAGTACCTCGATGACGAACTCTCAATCCCTGTTCTGTGACCTTGATCGTCGTACATCTCGGTCATCGTCCCGGACGTTGAGGTAGCGATCGCTTTCCTTGAGGATTGCAGATATGGTTCCTTGCACAGGACGTTTAACCAGAGCAAATTCACGGTTTGCCCTTTCAGCTAGCTGTGGCCCGAAAAGTCTCGTTTCCACGTGCATACTTTGTTTTTGTGCTCCTGGGTCGGCTTTCCGACGTGTTCTGCCTTCCTTCCCATCGCAAAACTCTGAAGGCAACCTTAAACACCCCGGATACGAGCTATTTATGTATTAGGAAACGCATAAAAAATCAAATAGAAGGCCAATTTATCATCATTTATGTATTAGGAGCCCATGACTCGACGTGTTAGCGCCTCGAATTCTTACCATCCTCCACTATCTGATATTATTGCTATATCTGATGGTGACCTTGGCAACGGCGATTATTAGTTAGGACAGGTTTTACTGCATACTGATCCGTACACCGTTTTGCCTCCGAGACGATATTAAAGGGTTATCTTCCTAGGGTTAGGCACGGCCATATTTAGTTGCACTAAGGAACGAGGACGGCGTCCCTCTCTGCTTACAGCCAATTGCAGATAA